AAAAAAAAAAATTTGTTTTGTTTTTTTACCCTTCATTTTGTAATTTTAAATTTAAATTTAAAATATTTTTTAACAACATACCCTTATAGATGGCTGATATATAACTTATAGTTCTTAATCAATATGTAAAAACTTTAGAATGAATTCTGAAGTGTTTATTATGCACTACTGAGGGTGAGGCAAATAGTAAGAGTTTATATCCATTATTTATTTCATCTAGCATTGCTGACATTAAATATTTCAAAGTTATTAACACAAACGGCACAATAAGCATCTGTAAATATTTTGTTTAAGTGTTTATATTATATTAAATGCATAAAACACACACAAAAACAAATCTATGAACTATTGATTAACTGTAAAATCTTTTAAACAAATAGCCTAAATTACTATTTTTTGTTAATAAATAATAAATGTATCTTTTAAAATAACCAACAAAAACAGCCTACATTTGTTATGGTTTAAAAATAATAAAATAAGTCACCTATATAGCCACAATTTTTTATATTTTTAAAGAAATCGACTAGATTTATTTATTTTTTTTTTTGCCTGTATTATTAACTTAATATAGATAGCCTATATTTGTTATTCTATTTCTTATTTTATTTTGTAAGCAATTATTTTTTTAAATAGCCTATATTCATCTTTTATTAAGTTTTTATTATTTTATTATATTAATTATTATATCATTATTATTATTTATTTCATTTTATTGGCTTTTAATTTTTTTTTCTATATATAGCATCCATTTTTTTATTTGTTTTAAATAAACAGTCTGGATTTATTATCTGTTTGAACAGGTTATGATTCAAAATAAATTATTTAAAAGTATTAACACTTTCATTTTATTGATAATTTTTTGACCCTTTTATACTTTCAGTTGTTTTATTAAATTCTTTAGAATCTGATTAAACGGAAACAATCCTTAAACTCTTTGTTTTGGATGAAAAAAATGAGCCTAAACCGGTGAAGAGTGAAGGAGCGTCTGAATGAAGCGTCTGACCTTGTCACTGATCCAGCCCAGAGCATCCTCACACTCTCGCAGGTACTGCACCAGTTTTTGGGCCTGCAGCAGACGCATGCCCTTCTCCTTGGTCTTCTGCAGCAGGAGCTCCCACAAACGGTGCAGCTCCTCCAGACGGTTCTGAAAGACAAACGACAAGGTTTTAAAATTCAACCCAAACAGGGTATCCTCCTAGTTTCATGCAGTTTGGGAGGAACAGAGAGAAAGACACACAGAACTGCTGAAGATCCAGTTTCTACAGAAGGACATCAGAGTCCACCTGCAGCCACCGGACCTGCAGCTTTGATCCAACCAACAAAGCACATTCTGGAGCTTAGAATAAGCATCAATGGAAGGTTGCTTCTGTTAATCTCCTCCTTTCACTCGGTATTGTAAGTTAATTTGATGAAAGCCTGACTTTGATCATTGTGGGGTTTAGATGAGGCTTATCTTAGAAACATACATTAAAATCAGATGAATCCTTTGTCAATATATTTAACTTACTCAGGCAAATAAATCATTAACTGCTTCACAGGATCTAAAGCATGAAATTTGCAGAGTGAGAAACTCAGAGACGTAAATAAGCTAAAACCATAGAAATAATCAGTGGAAACCAGAGCAGTTCATTAAAGGACACCAGCAGCTCAGAACATCCTTGGTTCACGTTATAAATGCTCCAGTTAAGCCGGGAAAACACTGTACGATTTTTTTAAATCGTTGCACAGAGCGACAGCTCACACTGTACGACGAAACCACAGGATTTAGAGTAGAGGAATATGAAGCTTACTAGAGTAAAACCTTGGTAAACTATGCTATTTTATGTGCTGAAAGCCCTAAAAAGAAGCAAAGTATTTGGACAAAGACATGGCTGAGCTAACATGGCTACTATGGTCTGTCGATTTTATAGCAAGGTCTCCATTTCACTCCAAATCATAAGGGTGCTGTATGAACCTCCCCAGGATTGGTGATAAGACTTATGGGATGAACTCTGAACCATGGCAGGTGTTTCCTGATGGGTGGCTGCCAAATATTTCTGACTGGTTGAGTATTTCAGTTACATTTTAAGGAAAATATTTTCATTCATTAAAACAGCCAACGTTGGTGTAAATGAAAAAAAAAATATCTGTGCTGATTGTAGAGACAGAATGAGGAAACAGAGTCATCTGAGCTGATTAAATTGGTTTAAATCATTATCAGAATATTTTAAATTGTTTATAGATAAGATTAAAGCAATAACATATTCCATAGTTTTTAATCATTAACTAATGAAAAATGGACAGAGACGACCTCTGTCCATCTTTCATCAGTTTATGATTAAAAACCGAGGGGTGAAAAAGTATTGACACCCCTTAAAATTTCCTCCTGGTATCAGATCACACTGCTGTTAAAATCACTAAAAATAAAACCTGTTTTTATTTATTAAATGAACAGACTACACAAACCAGCCAACAGTCAAATGTAAGCAACAGCTTGCCTTCCAGACGCACACAACGGAAGAGAGAAAGTTTCCGAGGGAATACAGATCCATGCATGCTGGGAAAAATAAGAACTTTTCCAAACAGAGTCTGGACCAGAATGTGTGGAAAGTTTCATGAAGAAATTAAAGCCCAGAAGAGAAACTCTTTTTTGTAATTAGAGTAGAGGGTAATCAAAATAAAACCATAATATTGGTTAAAAACAACACATTTCAGCCCTCTATCATCGTGTCATTTTTTTCATGTAAATAGAGGAAGATAAAACATTACTGGCTTTAAAAAGCAGTCCAAAAAAAACAGGGGATCTGTTAGACTGCATCATCAGAGTCAGGTTGGCTTTTAGCTGTTTTATTTTATTAAAAAATAATTATAATTAAATAGATTAATTAAATAAATAAATAATTAAATAGACTTTTGTTTATATTCAGGTTGTCGTCTCTTTTTAGCATTTGTTGGAAGGTCTGAGCGTTGACAGTTTGGATATCAGGAACAGGCCAAAATGATTTCACAGGCAGACACTAAACACATTTCTATTAACCTTCAAATCGTGCAAATTGTAATTATGAAAATAAATTTGCTAAATGGAAACAATACAATTTAGGAAAAAACAAACGGTTTGATTGGGTCGTTTTTTTGGAAGCACTTTTTTCGCATTAAACCAGTCACATGATCTGCAACTGCACCTTACTGCTTTGCAAAAAGACGAAGAAGAAGATCGGAAGTGGTTGGCTTGGCTGAAATATGGATTTATTTTGTGTTTACATCAGTTTTATCTAATGAACAAACGTATTTACATTCAATTTCAGTTATTTTTGTTTTTGAATGGAAATCAGCCATTGCAGAACTTTCAAAATTAATATAATATTTATTGTTTTGTGCACATTTGTAATGAAAAGGCTGCTACTGAGGTGTTTGAAAGCAGGGAGCTCCTTCAGCACCAATATGCTGAGGTTCTACCAACCAAAGAGAGAAACCTGGCCTTAGCTTTACACCTAAATGCTAACAAAGAGCCAAAGACTCCCCGTTCCTTAGGGGCGGACTCGTTCTTCAGGTTCAATTTGCATGTTTTTTAAGCCAAAACAAGGGTTTGTTTTTGTCCATTCTATAAAGCCTGGAACTCAACACCATTTCTGACATTTTAAATTAAAAAAGCTTCCTTGATGGGAAGCGAAACGTCTTCAAACTTGGAAACAGAGTCAAGTAGATTGTTTTTTTTTTTTGTTTGTTTGTTTTTTGGAATAGCTTTAGAACCACACAAAGGAGGCACTACAACCCAAACACACACTTGGATATACTCAGCCATATTGACAGTGGTGACTATGGGTCTCTGCTGGGTCCGGTACGGAGTGTAGGACTGAATTCCATGGAGTCGGGTTATTTTTACAGTGAGGTAATCTGAATGTTTCTACATTCCCAACGTTCCTGATCCAGTCCTTCCTGTGATCCAGAACCTCAATACAACTGATCTTAAATAGGTTCTGATGATCTATAGTTTTTTCCCTCTGCTTTAAAGAAGATGAGATTAGGAAAACATGGTGACCGGATCAGGACGTTTCTGGGCTTCTCTTTTGGACTCACCCGGATGGTCTCAGAGGCGAAGTGTCCCTCGGTTATCATCAGGTTTCCGGTGTCGTCCAGTTTGATGATGGCTTCAGAGTTAGCTTGAACCTCAGCTTCAAAGGCCTGGTGCTTCTGCAGTTTGCCCTGTGAGGAGAAGAAAGAGAAACAGGCATCAGCTGTGGGGCAGGGTCTCCGTCCACAGATGACCGGCTCTGGTTCTGCTCGGAATCAGACCTGCAGGTTGGACGGGTCCTTGTAGTTCTCGTCGGAGGCGATCTGCAGCTTCTCTTGGATCCATTTCTCCAGTTCATCAGCATCCCGGCGGAAAAACTGGAAGCGGTAAGAGTCCTCCAGCTTCTGCCGGCGGACCATCGACAGCTCCTTGAAACGCCGGTAGCGGTCCAGAACCTGCTGCCGGCGTTCCTGGATGTCTTCGGCCGTTTCCAGCACCTTGATACCAACGGTGTCCATTTTCTGCACAGAAGAAAAAACAGACGATGAGAAACCAAAAACTGCAGCGGGTGAATCTAACCTCCTGCTGAGTAAAACCAGTGCTGTCCCAGAACCCTCTCCTGTCCAGAGCCAGAACCCACCGCACGACCAAAATCTGGTTTCTTCTTAAAGTTAACGATTGCTGGTCCGACTCAGGAGTTCTGATTTTCCAGAACTGGGTCGTGGGGACATTTGTCCAGTAATGTGTGTATAAAACGGCTCATTGGATTGAAAATTTACAGGCCCACTGCCTCAGTGTTGGAGCAAAAGTTCTGGTTGCTGGGAAACAGATCATATTGGATCACTTGTTAAATCAGAACTGTTCTGGACTGTGTGTAAGGTCGCCGGGGCCGACAGTTTGCCTGCAGCTCTCAGGGTAGATGTTTGTAATGTCCGGCACAACAATGGTCCTACTGCTCTGAGACAGAACCTTGGCTTTGCTCTAAAAGGCCAGATATAAAGCCCCCCCCCCCTCTCATCCTGTCTGCTGCCTAGCAACCAGCAGCAGCTGAAATACTATAAATGCCTGAAGGGGGTGGGGGCGGACATTCCAGCAGCATGTGGACAGCGTCCGAGGTTTCCCACACAAAGAGATGTGAGGACTCAGCGTCTCTGTGGGCTCAGCCTGACGGACAGATTCAGCTGGATTCAGCTCTACAGCAGCTTTACATCACAGATCCCAACAAAACCATTGGAGTTATTTAAAGTCACAGCATGATAGCAGCAGTTCATCATCAACCAATAAGTCCGAAAAATCACGATATTTCCCTTTTTTTTATTTTTTATTTTTTGTAGTTTAGAGTGATGTCAACAAATCACTTCCTGTTCTTAGCCATTTAGTTAAACTGATAAACTAACTTACTGGATAATGCTGCCAGCCTTAACAGGGTTCCTACAGCATAAGGCAAGTTAAATTCAAGACTTTTTAATGCCACTTGAAATAAAAATTTAAGACCAAATTCACAAGAAACACAAGAAAAACCTGCTTCTGACAACTTTAAATGTTAATGTTTCAAATTTTGAAAAGCTTCCCATACAGGAAGAAAGCTAAAAACACACAAATGACAGA